TCAGGAAGAAGATCTGGATGAAGCTTCCAACAAGAATCCTTAGTATGTTTCATCTTCTTGTAGTATTCACATATCATTTCCTTTTTCTCATTCAGCCCCTTTGGTTTTATTCCAACATGTGCAAAATGTTCTGGAGGAGGTGGGGTCTGTAGTTATACCTGTCGCCTGCTCTCTTCACTACTCACCATAGAGTATGCCTATGCAAGTGACACATCATCCTTGGCCAAGATATTCTGCCTTGTAATATCAAATTCAAGATTGAGTCCTATAAGGAACTCAAACACCCTGTTTCTTTCCAAAAATTTCTTGAAAGTTTTGGCATCTTTGGTGCTTTCCCATGCAAATGCTTCCATAACATCGAACTCCTGCCATAGTGACTTCAACATCGAATAATAGACGGCCACACTCTTCTCCCCCTGTCTTAAATTCTCCACATCACTCTTTAGTTTGTAGGCCCTTGCAACATTTAATTTCTGAGAGTATGTCTCTGTCACACTATCCCAAATCTCCTTGGCTGAAGTCATCCACAGATAGTGTTGACTTATATGAGGCTGCATAGAATTTACCAACCACCCAATAACTGTGTAGTTATCCTGCATTCATTTCTCATATGTAGGGTCAGACTCATCTGGCATCGCCTTATTACCTGTTAGAAACCCTAGTTTACCTCTATTACAGACATGGATCTTAATAGATTGTGTCCATGCAAGGTAATTTGTTCCATCAAGATTAATTGTAGTCACTCCTATTAAAAAGGAATCTACGGGACCAACCCCCGACACCGGGATCTGCTTCACCTCACTTCCAGATTGCTCCATCAATCAAACGAAAATCAAAAAACAATGTTTTAACCTTTATAGACCTAACTAAGGTCAGTCAAGCACTCAAAAGCTCCAAAACTAGGGTATCGCCATACTTTGCCTCCGAGGAGAAAGAGAGAAGAGGTAGCCACTCAAACCAAAGCTATCCAAACCACTTCCAATTGCAGCCGCCCACTTTTGGAGATAAAAAGGAAGCCTCCAAGCCTTGAGCGCCACACCCAAACAACTTCTTCAACCCGTAACTGGAAATTCTCTAGTCAGCTAGGGTTTTGGGAAAAAAAATTGCAGTCCCACTTTCTTGGCAATCTTCGACTAGATTCCGACTCTCCAAACCCTCTACCAACTAGGCAAACAAGATCTCTAAATAATCAACAATTTATCTCTCCATACACCTTTCGATTAGAAAAAAAAGGTGTGTGTGGAAAAAAAAGAAAAAAAGGAAAACGGAAGAGAGACCTACTCTGATACCAAGATGTGATTCAAACTAATAAAATCAATAGAATATTTCAGAATAAAGCAAAAGAAATCAGAGAAGAAGAAGGAGACAACAAGAAGGAGGAAGATTGGAGAAGAAAGGAGAAAAAAAGGAGGAGTTCGAATATCTCCTCTTTCCCCTACTCTAATCTTTTATAAAACTTACTTAAGTTACATAAATTACAAGGAGGCCCTTAAGTAGGCGTCCACATCAGCACTAAACTTAGAAAAACATAAAAAGAGCTAAAGGCCCATAAAAAAAGGGCCCAATAAGAAAACATAACATGAAAGAACTAATAAGAAAGACACTAATGGGCTAGGGCCCATTCGGCCCAGTCTCTCTACACTTGGTAAGGTAAATACTTGTGGCATGCTGTAGAAAAAAAGGCCTTTTATTTACCTCTTTCCTCACATGTGCTTCCTTTGTAGGGGTAGTGGCAAGACACTATTATCCTTTCCTTTTATGCATAGAATTTCAAAGTTTTTTAGTTATCTCTTTGGATGTAGGTGGGACCCCCCGAGATGTGATGGGTCTTTTCAATCCTAACCTCTTGAGGCAACCAAAGAAAAGGGGGGAAGTTCTTTAGAGAACCACTAAGGCAGCAATTTTTTGGATGGTACGGGAAGAGAGGAATAGCAGAATCTTCATGGGGAATATGGGTAAAGACCTTGGATATCTTCAAAACATTCTCAGCAACTGATTTCTTCAGGGCCTAGACTGAAATAGCATAGTCTTCAGGAACAAAAGACAGAGTTAGGATGGATTGAAACCCCCCCAAAAGGCAACAAAGTAAAAAATTAACTTTGATAGGAGCTCTCTTGGTAACTCTGGTGTGGTTGAGGGGTTATCAGAAATTCCATGAGGAGAATCTTGGCTATGTTCTTAGGACCAATTGGCTTTGGAAATTCTTTGAAGGCTGAACTGTTGGCTTTATTGCAAGGCCTCAGGTTATCTAAATGGCTGGGATTTAGGATGATTGAGGTGGAAGGAGACTCACAAGTAGTTATATCTTGGGCTAAATCCAAAGGTGTATTCCTTGGTCCCTCCAGTATGTGCTAAGGGAAGTTAAAAGGATTGAAAAAGAAATAATGGTTGAATTTAAGTGGATTAGAAGATGTGCAAATGGTTTAGATGACTCCCTATCTAAAGAAGGGGTTATGAGGCAACAATTGTTTTGGGCGTCCATGTAATTTGGGGTTTGCAAGTAGGGATTGACACTCGGGTCAAAAAAAGTTGTATTAATTATTTCTACATTACAAATATTATAATAAAATCATTTTTCTGCTGATAAATAAAAAAAGAAAGAAAGCATATATGCACATATTAAAAGCTTCAACCATTCAACATTTCAAGTATGCGAAACTTATCTGTTCATTTATCTCCTAGTTGTTTTATTTCAAATAGCTAGTGTATGTTAAATATCTTGTATTCCTAATCCTTGGAAATTGTTTTTGATAAGATATGAAATTTTATTGAAATTCAAGAATAACAGGAGAAAGGTACAAGGTGGAAACTTCAACCACAGAGGCGTGAGTTGCAGCCTCGATGAGTAACAAACATATTACAACTGTGCTCAAAATAACTGATTCTTGTGTACCCCTTTGCTTAGCTAAACAATCCACCACCCCATTGGCCGATCCTTGGAAATTGGTCCTCCACCTTCATAAGGGCCCCTTGAAACCCCAAACAAATCTGTGTGTTTCAAAGTAATTTGCCCATATATATAAAAGGGGTTATTTTCTGTGATTTTAATCATGATTCATTCTATTTTAGGATTAGGGATCAGATAATAGCTGTATTGTTATTGCTTCTTTAGTGGAAATTTTGCTATTTTAGATCCTATTTACAAGAACTAAGGCTTCAGGTATTTGAAATTAGAAACATATAAGATTACTAGTAAACCTGGCGTGCTGGACTAAACTAGTTAGAAGGGAGTGAAGTCTGGGTTAGATTGAAGCACCTAGGTCCACCAACAAACTTTTTTTATTACCAGTTTACCACCAGTGTTTTAAAACCAACCCAGAAACAAAACCATCTTCTCCTCCAGGTCATGGGTCAACAGTCCAACCATTCAGGTTGACGGTTCAACATGTAATTTATTATATAATAACCGTTAGATTAAGAACATGAATATCCTTTAGGTCTAGGTTTACTGGATAGATACGAAAATACGGGGAGAGAAAGAAGGGAGATCAAAGGGAGAAAGAGATTAAAATAAGGGAAGGAGGAAAAAGGTTCATTAGCCATAGCTAGAAGCTGACAGTGGTTCTTCGGCAGTTGCAATAGCAGCAGGAGTCAGGGAGGAGCATAGGACAGAGAGAGAGAAGAAGCGTCAGCCAAGAAGCTCTATGCTTAGAGAGATCTCTGCCCAACTCACGCCAGCAACACCTCTTGTCCTCTCTAGCGATTGTATAAAAGCAGAAACAGATCTATGGCAGTTGCATGTCAGCACTGGCGGCGCATATCAGATCTTCGCTATGGAGGCAATGGCAGTGGCAACAAATCTACATGGTGGGTGAGTATAGTTATTAACTTATTATGAACAGAAAAGAGAAAAAAGTGGTTTTTCTAAAAGAAGCAGCAGGTTAGTGTTAGAAGAAGAAGAGGAGGAGGAGAAGGGAAATTAATAAAAAAGAGACTAAACTAGGGTTTTAGACATTATGTTTTGGGTTGAACTGCAACCCATTAGAACAGTTCAAGTGGTTTACTGGCTTGACCATCTGAGTCGACGATTCTTGACTAAAGTCAACGATTTTGTCTCAAATACTGGGTTTAGGATGATAAAGACCCACTTTCTTGCCTGGGTGACAATTTGAATGGTTCAACTAGGCAGGTCAACAATGGGCTGCATACATTGATTATCACCCCTCTTGTAGTGTTACTTATTGTTGTAAAGGTATTTTTGCTACTTCTCAGTTTTTTTATTTATTTTTCATTTATCAAGCATTCAGAGTTGGCAAACATGTAGCTCATATCAACTGAGATCGACTGTCCTTCCCTTCTCATCTACCTTTTATCCTTATCAATTTTAGTATCATATAAGTCAAACAGATTACAAATACTAAGAAGCTACTACAATTTAGAGCTTTAACAATTTTATCTTGGGAAATTCTAAGATGAGACACAAGGCTACTAACCTTACCGGATTATCTTGTTTGTGAATTTCTTTTCATATTGATAAGGGCATAGTTATGGCAAGTTACCTCACTCCAACATTGTTTTCTATCACAACATGGTTCAGTAATTGGTGTTATATTGCAAGACGTGCCCCCCTATCCCAGTCCTTTAGATTAATGTCAACTGTTTCTTTCCTCCAACAACATCTCAAAATCAACAAATTTATTTGCTAAGTGTGATGCAAAAGGTTTCTGTTCTCATTATATTCAGATTTTGTAGGTCTTTGAGTTGCAGGTTCATATTGAACTTCAGGACCTATACAAGAACAGAAATGATATTTCCAGGAATAGATATCCAATAATAACAAATATGTTATTCCAAGAAACGGGGATCCATTTATCATTTATAGGACATCGGTAGTTGTTGATTACTGATAGTGTTTTGGGATGACATCTGGAAGATATGATAGTAATAGATTATGGTTATTTCAAAAAAAAAAACAAACATTGAATAACTTAAAGAAGGAGCTTTACTCGAGTCCATTACTATCCAAACTATAAATAATTTATGGAGAAAAAGTAGCATACCTTATAACTGGATCTTTTGGCACTCTTTGTGACTTTTTAGACTGATCCCCTATCCACTCTGTTCTCCTCTGATGCCAAGTTATGGCAGCTAAGGAATAAACAATTCCTTATTAAGCTCAAGAGCCACATTTTTGTGATTTCTAAATATGAGAAACAATAAAATGTAATGCATGAATGAACATATTGAGAAAGTTATCTCAAGGATACATTCTTAAAACTTTATCACTAGTTCTTTTATAAGGGTTACGAATAAAGTAGTTATGTGTTCATCTGTAAAAAGAAAAGGTAGTGATATGGTCTTCTAACATTCACCTACTTTCTGTAACTCAGGAGGAACCTATTCAGGAGTCTGTGTTTGGACATTAGCATGCTGATTCAAGTTCATGGAGGAAATGAGGACTGATGACTGGGACCATGGTTTGAGAGGATTCAGTGACTCCAGTCACAACTTGTCACTACATTGAGAAAGTTGTGACATGGTGTTTAGGTCTTGACAAGAAAAACCAGCCTTAGCTTTCCATGTTTTTCTTGTATGATAACAAGTGCCAATACATTTTTATCATTTAAAAGGCAAAATACAGAATGTATGCAGTCAATGACAAGAAAAAACAGGAACCAAACAAAAAGAGGGGCTTCCACCAAGAAAAGAAAATGGAAAAGAAAATAAAAGAGCAACCACACAAAGGGTCCATATAATGCAGGTGAAGGAAAAGAAGAAAAAAGGCCTTACAGGAATTGATAGGAATCGATCAGCATCCTTGAAGACTTATTCTAGAAAGAAGAAGGCCTTACAACAGGTCCTGATATGGCATAGTGATGGTACTTGGGATTTGGACTGAATTGAACACCAAGGGTATTTTTGCCATTTTACAATTTTTCTATAAGGTCCAATAATAGGGTTTGATTGTCTATTTATAGTTTGTTTATGTTTAAAATTTCAGAGTCATTGCATAAGTAGGATTAGAGTTATTGAGTTTTCTTTGAATTGAAATAGGATATGACAGCTTAGTTTGAGTCCTACTAGGATTATTGAGTCTAACAGTTTGACTCCTAGGACTATTATGAGTCTAACAGTTTGACTCCTAGGATTATTACGAGTTTAGAGTCTATAAATTTGTATGGACGTTTTACACAAAGGCAATGAAGTTTATTGAGTTTTCTTCAGCTTATGCTAACTATGGTGAGTGATCATGCCCTAGAGTGATTCTTGGCATCCTATGAGTGATTCCAGATAGATTCTCTCTTCTTCTCTCCCTATTTTCTCTTTTATTCCTTCAAGAAGCCATTACAGCCAGCAACAACCATAACATTCTGATCAAAGAAGACCATTCAAAGGACTAAAACTGAGCTGGTCCTACATCAAGAATTTTCCAACAACCTGAGAAATCCCAAGGAAAACTGAGATTTTCTTATAATGGTCTATGGGCTCTATTGGGGCCTAACAACTCAACTGACCTCTCTAGGAATCCAAGATGAGTGAAGCTGCTCTTTAGATCCTGAGTTTGTTCATTCATTTGAGAAAAATCAGAAATCTCTTAGTTTCCTGAGTTATAGTTACAGATCTACAAATTCTGCCAGTTTTAATTTGGGTTGATTTTTTAATTATTTTAACACTTCCAGTAGATGATAAGCTCTTTATGAGGGGTTTTAAGTTAGAAGTCTTAGGAAGTGTTGACAAGCTGTCATGTGCTGTCCACAAGGTTTTATTTGACCTTAAATTGGAATCTTCTCATTTTTAAGGGTCAAAGCTTATCTGTTTTTATTTCATTTTGATGCCTTTTGCAAGGTTTTTCAATTTCCTATTCAATGACCCAAGATGCTGTGAAATCAAAGTGAATTGAGAAATCTATGGCTATTTTCAAAGGCTGGCTGACCCAACCAAATGAGTCTATAAATAAGTCTTCTATCATGCAAGGCTAGTAGTGAATTGAGTATGGAATAAGAAATTGAATTTGGTTTATAGTAAAAGTTTCATCCTCTCTTGTCTTCTTTTCTAATCTGATATTATTTATAGTTTTTCTCTTTATTAACAATACAGATCTGAAAGTGAACTACTCATTTTTTACAAGATTTGTATCGATTTTTCAGACCTGATTTCTTCATTTACCTTTAGCCCACCAATGCTGAGAGCCTGAGATGTAGGACCTTCTCATAGCAATCCTACACCACCAAAGTACCCCTTGATACAAAAGAATCTCATAGGAACTTGCAAAAGAGTTAAAAAAACATAAGATAGGAAAGAGGACAAACAAATACCACAACCAAAAAAACATAACCTTGCTTCAACCAAGCATGAACAACCCATCTGCTTGCCAAGATGGGAGAGCTAATACCCCTTCCAAATCCCAATCCAATCCCTCCACCAAACAAGCTTAACACCATCTCCATGACAGGCACAGACACAGTAGATGCCCTTCCCACCAACCATAACTGTACAGTCTTTCATATCCAAAATTCAGATACTATCCCCAATCTATAAAGTTAACCTCTCCCTTCCATTGCAAGGTTAATACAAAGAATAACAAACTATAAGAAATTAAGCATAATTATTTGATATGCCGACTGTGGAATATAATAAAGTATAAATCTTGAATGTAGAGAAGTTTATCTTGTATATCACATGATACATAAGTATATCAAAGTGCCATTAGATGTAATAACTAAACTAGTTAACTCCATGTTCTGTTTTCTGTGATGTAAACTAAATTGGATTACTGATATTGACAGTAATATTCAGTACAATATCCTTTATTTGCTTCTCAGTTTTATTCCAGTTAGCATAGCCAATCCTGAATTCACAAAATAGATCAACAATATGTCCATTTTCCAGTTATGTCTCCATTAGAGTCCAAGACAGAAAAGCATGTCGACGATGATCACCTTGATTAGTGGACTCCAGTGTTCTTCTAATGGTACTAGTAGGTCCAAATATTGTTCATAGTTAAAGGAAAGGCCATATATGAGGCACAAAGAGGGATTTCATAAAGAAAACAGGTAGCTGCTTCTTGGACATGCAGAACTCTTAATAGATACACACCTTGGTTGATAAATGCAGGTGCATTAACATCTTTCTCCATGGGCTTCTTTTCTCCATTGGCTGATGTGGAACCCACTGGAGGTTTCTTTTCATGGGGCTGTGAATTGCTAACACTCTTTTCCATTATCCCCAGACTGGATTACCATTGCCTTTCCTTATCACCTGAGAGAAACTAACCTTTGTTCTTCCAGAGTGATCTCCTCAATGTTCCCTTAAACAAGTGCTGGCAGTTGGAATTTGGCTAGACCCCCAACACAACTGCGGCTCTATACAAGATATAAGAAGATTGAGTAGATCTGGTAGCAAGAAAAGGGTTTGCTTGATACATTATTCAATGTATGTATGCTTATATATAGTTGTGAAGTCTCTATTAAAACCATTACTAAAATGTATGGCAGGAGAAAATCTTAACTTTGTATGCTATTAAACAACTCTGGAAAAACTAACCATTGATTATGATAAAAATAACACTATTAGACAAGAGGACAAGTAGGTAATTGTCCAGAAACCATTGTTCAGACACATTACTAGTAATCATCCACCTCATAATTCCTGGTCACCCTGAGTCTGCATATTGGTCCAAATCATCATGGACAATGTAACAGTAAAGTATGGTTAAGACAAAAAGGGAAATTTTAGATTGCTTGTGCGATAAATAGTCCAACAATACTTAATTAGTTATTTGAGAGGACAAACAGTAGTACCAGTAAAGTATCATCATGGACAATGTAACAGTAAAGTATGGTTAAGACAAAAGGGAAACTTTAGATTGCTTCTGTGTAATAAATATTCCAACAAATCGTCATGGACAATGTAACAGTAAAGTTGTGACAAAAAGGGAAACTTTAGATTGCTTTGGTGTGATAAATAGTCCAACAGATCATCATGGACAATGTAACAGTAAAGTAAGGTTAAGAAAAAAGGGGAAACTTTAGATTGCTTCTGTGTGACAAATAGTCCAACAATACTTAGTTATTTGAGAGGACAAACAGTAGTACCATGCAAGCACTCAGATCTCCCTAACAAAAGTTTCATAATTTTATTGATCAATATATTGGAAAACACAATCGAAGTGATTGCCTTGGTCACCACCAGAGTCTATTTGGTTGAAGACTAGAGTCAGATTCCACCTTCTTATTGCATTGATCATCAGTGAAAATCTCCAATGCCCTGGGGATTTTCTCCGGTCTTGCTCCAATTATTCTGATTCTAACTGCTCGAAGGTTTTGTGTGCAGAACAATTCCAGAATACTGCCACACGTCACTGTTATTTTGTGGAATAGGCTTTCCTTCCATAGATAGCCTGAGGATTTTGATAATGAAGGTGTTCTGTAGGAGTTCCTTTTCATTGCAGGGGGGCGACCAGTTTTCTACCATAATCTGGCCAAACTTTGTTTCTAGAGTCCTTGCCTCGAGTTGAGTTTTGCCCACGTTTAGGATTGCCTTTTGTTCATCAAACAGAAGGAGGATCACCTTTTGTTTTAAGTGGAGTTTCTCCATAAATTCTTCTAAAACTTCTTTCCAATCCTTTACTTTGCTTCCCAGCTTAACGGTTTTCTTTTCTCTCTGGTCCAACCTTCCACCGCTTTCAGCAGAGAATAGAACAGTATTCCCATTCTGATCAGTTCTTTTTTATCAGCTTTTGTTTTCATACATTCACCTATCACCTTCTTCAAGAGTTATCCTCTCTTTCTCCAAAACTATGTGCTCTGTTTTCTGAGGCTCTCAACTCTCAAGTGAGGCTTCCTCCAGTGTCGCAGCAAGCAGCTTCCAACTCCGCTTTGCCTTTCCTTCCAGTAAACAAATCATCTGCTTCCTTCCTTCACCAAAGAATTCAGTTAGAGTGATGAACCAACCATTTTTTTCCTTCTGTTTTCCACCAAGAATCTTTTGCCACCACTGTAGAGAACAGTGATGTGGTCCCCACTGTGTTCGTGTGATTGTAGTTAGCAGTTGGTAGTTTACTTCAGTTTATAGTTTTTAGTTCTTTTATTATTTTGCCATGTAAGCAGTAAGGGTAATTCAGCCCTTTTACTTTTATTTGAGTATTAATATAAATTGTAGAGTGGGGCGACAATTGGTTAACTCTCTCTCTCTCTTCTGAATTCTCCTCTCCGAGTTCTTCTTCTCCTCTTCTCTTCTCTTCTCTTCATCTTATTCTCTCTTCTCAATCTTTCCTTTGTTTATTTCACATTGAACCTAGGACTGATTGCAGTCCTATTCGACTACTACCACTAGCAATCTCATTCCTCCAGCTTTGGGTTTTCTCAACAAAGATTAGGTCATCTACAAAAGCTTTGAACCAGCCTAACCCTTCCCTTTCCATTACAATCATTGCTCAATTATCCTCCCTTATCTTCAGATATCTCTTCCCCTCTAGCTTTTGACTCCTCGATAAGGACCCTTTTCTTCTCCATCTTGAGCACTCTTCTCCATTTAGTTGCCTGAATGAAGTTCTCCATTTTGGTCTTTCTTTCAGAAAAGTAAAATCCAATATGGGGACCCAAATCACAACTTTGATGGTGGTCTTGTCTAGGATGTAGTTGGTGTGTAGAATAAGGTGTACAACTGCACATAATCCTCAAGTAGCATGCAGTGACACCATATTTTTCATCCTACATTGATTGCGAGAGAAATCACTCAAGGAACAAAAAAGATAAAGTAATGGTGGATACCATAGAAGGAAAAGTGATATAATTAGGAAAATAGGAATGTAAACCATTATAGTATGATCCAAAGTTCAGGAATCACTGAATACCATAAGCTCTAAAGTTCAGTAAAAGATCTCCACAGCTAGAAGAGTTATCTCTTATAATTGCCTTTGAGAGAACCGGGCGAGCTTAAGCTATCCCACGCCGCTGGGTTCCGTTGCCGGCAGAAAGAAACCTCCAAAGCCCCCTTCTCTCTGCGGAAAGAGCTTCTTCCCACCTCTTTTTGCAGGAGAATAGGGGTCTTAAATTTCTTCATTTTCTTGCGATTCATCAAAAAAAAAAAAGAGCTATCTCTTTCTTTCACTCCCCTAAAGCCCAAACCACTATTTAGTCAAGTTTTATAGATGGTTAGTTAATTGGTTTAGTCCTATTATCTGGTTTCCCAATGTTCCCAAAGAAAAGCCCCCGAATTCCGTATATTATTTCCAGAACCCTAGTTGGGGCTCTGAAGATCATGGCTACCTAATGAACAGGTTAGGGAAGTCAAATCTGAAAATTTTTGTCCTATATCTCAGGGTATGCAGTTCTCTCAAGAAGCCAATACTTTAAATAACTTGTCCTGAGATGCAAGAAAAAGCTAATAAACCCACTTGTACATTAATCCTTGTGAGCCAGGTTTAGTTAAAGTTTCAGAAGAAAATACTAATTGATTAGAGATCATGAGCTCTTCACAATCAGACTAACAAAATAAAATAAGGAATCATTACCAATCTGGTTTTGAAAACCTCAATTTCTTCAGAACCACTCTGAAGCCCCTAATTAAATTTAAATTGATGCCCTATTGGCTAACCTTCTAAGAATGCAGTGCATAGTAACAAAGAAGAAAGGGAGGAGGGTGGTTGTGGGAGAAAATGTCCCTTCCTAGGTAGCTTTCTTCATGTGGACAGCCAATCTTGACAAGATCTTGATGGTCAATATTCTTAGTTCCAGGGGAAGGAACTTAGAGAATTCTTGCAGCCTGTGCAAGGTAACTGTGGAATCAGTCCTGAACCTGTTTGTACACTATCAATATCCCTAATTCCCTACCACATCTAGGATTACCTTCTGTAGTTATAAAAAGGTTTTTTGTGATGCCCAAGAACCTCCAGATGCTTGTACCATTATGGCATGCAGATGGCTTCAACCCAAGAAGGTACATTCTATGGAATTTGCTTCTTCTTGCATTGCTCTAGTGTACTTGGAAGGAGCACAACACACATGAACTCCCCCATTGAGGCAAAAATGAGAAGAATCAAGATAACACTTGTCAGCTGGACTTTTATTCTGAAAGACTTTTTTTATTTGAAATATGAGCAGTTCAAAAATCAATAGGAGATCATATTTAATGAATCCTTTAATGTATAACCTGGGATTTTGTCTTACATCTTACTTGTAAAGGGTGCATAGTTTATACTCATCAACCATGTATAGGATGTATTACATCTTTGTCTTACATCTTACCTGGATCTTTATCTTCACTATTTTAAAAATATATAAACAAAAAAGAAATGGAGGCAATACCCTTGCCTAATAGGGTTAGGCTACGTTAATCACTTTTAAGAAGAGGCCTTGCACCAGTGAGCTTATAAAAAGAACCATTGCAACTAAAATGTTATGGACACCTTCCTCGGGAAGACGTACCATCGCCGCCGGHAGCAACAGGCCCCGGGCCCACCGCCAGCAGCAGCAAGGATTCAGTGATGCTCATCCTACCCAGTTCGGCAACAGCAGCCTTATCTAGATTAGATTAGCTCATTTTGCTTGTTTTTACCTTATTGTTCTTATCTCTTATCTTATCTTGTTAATAGCTTATCAGATTAGGATTAGCTTAGC